ATGAATAAAGGACGAGTCCAACAAATCTATAAAACACGCTTATAATGGATTAACGCTCACAGTGAAGGGATTTTCACTCCCCATGCATATGAAATCAAAAACATATTGTGAACGTGGATGCAACAAATTACATTTATAATGAAGCCATATCGTTCGTCCATGTCACCTCGTTATAAGCGCATCTTACTATTTTTATAAACATAATTATAATATTATAATTTACAAAACCAATAATATGCAAACACATTACGTAGCATATACAAAAGATTTGCAACAAAACTATATTAAAAAAGTTTGATAACAATATTATGAAATGATGTAAAATGCGACCATAAATGTACTACCGTAAATCTGGAATTACCACTGCTTTGTTTACATTTTCTTATTGGTAATTTATTTTTAAGAAAAAAAAATTTGCGAATGCAATGAACTCGCAAATTTGCTAGAAATTTACCTACAGCAAAATTTCCAGATTTACGGTATAATGTTTAATAAATTTGAAATTATATGAAAGATGAAGACAATACCCGCTACCGAACAAAGCTGCACACTATGTAATGTACAATGAATCCATATCAAAAATATTATTTAGAATGTTCCAATTTTCAACATTTTCAAAACAAATTCAATTAGAGAAAAACTTAAAAATAATATATAGATTTTAATAAAGCAACCTTATAAGAAACATTTAGCATCACCTTGTATAAAAATACAAAAAGTCCACTTTGAAAATATATGTTCTCATTAATTTTCCGAACTTTTAAGAAAAAAAACACTTAAAATTTTATCTGAATGAAAGAAAATAAAAAAAAAACAAACAAATGTCATATTAAAATAGTTTGACATCTTTGATAAACAAATTGAATTGTAAGATACCCCAAATGACTCCGGTGTCCTTTTGATTGTATTAAAAAAAATTATAGTACCTTACTTATAGTCACACCCTACATCTACCGACTTATAACAGACAAGAAAAAAAAACTTTCAACATTACATTACGTAAACCTAAAATATTAAGAAAGTCTATATCAGATCCTGAAGTGACCTCATCATCGATACGTTATCCAACCAGGTTCGATTATTCATCAAGCCTAAAATTTGTTAACGCAATTTTGTTGAAAAGAAATTTTATTTTTTCAAAGTGCAATAATAATGTTACTTTAATTCCCCATTTTCAAAAGTGAGTTATCTCCCCTCAAAATCGGAACTCTTCTACACTAGCATAACTTCCGCGGACTACGCATTACAATAATCCAACAAAAAAGTGATCAACTTACACGCTGCATTTAAAAATTTTAAAAGAAAGAAACGGTTTGCAATTTTTTTTAGATAATAAGTGATTTTATAAAGGGTCTGTTACCCCCCCCCCCTTTCTAGAAAGCTATACGAATTAGTTAGGCATGTAGCATCGTCTTTAAATGGGGGGGGGGGGGGGCAGCCAAAGAAATATTTTTTTTCTTACCTAGAAAAGTTGACCAGCAAAACAAAACCTTGCCCATAGTCGAAAAAGCTACTTATTTTAGTACCAGTTACTTGGTATACAGTACTACATTTCCCTTATATAACTTTACCGTAGTATAAACTGTGTGTGTGTGAGGGGAGGGGGTGGCAACCTGTCTTTCAATGAACATTTTCAATAGAAAAAGTAATGTCGGGAAAAAAGTGGGGGTGGGGCAAGGCCCCTTGACCACCCCCATCCCCGTTCCTACTTGCCTGTTAGCTGGCAAACAACTTCATCAGAAATTTGCAATTTTATGGTACGTTACTGTTATTTTTTCTTAAATTTTTACATGCATAATCTACGGGATACATCTTATTTATGTCTTAAAAAAGATAATTTACAAAATACACGTAAGTTTTTAATAAGCGTTGTGGTGAAACCGGGAAGATGAATTTCGCTGAATGTCAATTGAGTGTGTTATACACTTGAACTCAGAACTGACCATAAGAATGTTTCAAATCAACTTTCATGCGAATTTGATTGACACTGAGGTGACGCACGAGGGTTTCGTGGGTACAGGTACAGAGAACGAATGTGTAAATGGGTTGGACAGTTGAATATGAACCAAAGTTGTGGAAATTAAAAATTATTAGAATTATTAATTGTGAATTCAATATAATTACGGTACATATATTTTTTCACAGATGTACATGTATGTCAGTTACACGGGGTTTCATGAGTCTCTCTCTCTCCCTCCCCCCCTCTCTCTCTCTGATATTGTTTTTTACACACTTTGCAAAAAAGAATAATTTATAAAAATGAATACATGGACTATTGCTATTTTAATTAGTCTTTCTTCGTTACATGAGCACATGAGATTAAATTATTCATTTAGAATTCCATTCAAAGTTTTAATACTATACAGTGAATCAATTATTTTACAAATAAAAAATTCTGGAAACACGGTTAATTCAAATGAAATAGGCCTTTTATTGTCACCAAATGTGTTCTTGTAAGTAAAAGTTCTATGTTATGACATACAATCGAGCAAAAAAGCAGTTTCTTGGTATCGGTCGCGGAAGACGAACTACTGCTGTATATGCAGCAATTTCAGGGGTAAAACTGTAGATGGATATGTCATCAGTCTCCAAAAAATTCTTAGAGATGCAGAGAAGAAAATATGGCTGCAGCAGGCTAGATTAATTCGTAAAAACTTTATAACTAAAAATTCTTTTATTTGTTCTGCACATTTTGTAAATAATGATGATCCGTCTGCAGAACATCCACTTCCGAAAATTAGCTTTTGTTTGTTTGTTTGTTTTTTTAATAGGCCTATTCGAATATGTATCAGCATTTTATCAGTAATTTGTTTCGTTTTTTTTTTTTTGGAAGAGGGGGGGGGGGGGCACACACAGCGCCTTATTATACTACTATACAGATTAATACAAATCCAGAAAGAGACTATGACTTGGTAATTTAAAAAAATATACGAATCAGTTAAGATTTCTTTTTATTCACAAACACAATAACATTTTTCCATATGACAGAGGTATTAAACCATAAACCATAAACATGTTTACATCAAGAACGTCCGCGGAAGTGACTTTATTTATAGCGCATGCGTATTAAACACAGTAAAAGAGTTCCTTTCAGGGGAAATAACTCACCTTTTGAAAATGGGGAAAAAAAGTAAATTTGTTTTCATCCAATTTTTTTAAGGTTAGTGATAATTCATTTATATTTTTAAAGGAAGTCAAAGAAGCAACTCTTTATCTTTCAAGACAACGGTAGTAAATTAAAAGAGGTTGGAGTGAGGGGTATTAAACAAAAAAGCAAGTTTTCAACGCCATACCATTAATGTACATACATATATGTGGCTATAGTATAGGCATCGTAACCAAGGGGGCTCCCCTTTTTTGCAAAGATAGACATAATATGAGTATTGAAATAGTATTTTACCCACCTCCCCCTTCCAACCGCTTTCAATTTGCTATCGATGTCTGGAAAGATAAATAGTTGGACTGAGACAATATGATAAGAGGGGGAAGCCCGGTAGACCTGCTACTTTCACAAAGTTGAACAAAAAGAAAAAGAAACTGAAATTAAGATCGAAAAAGTAATTTTTCTGCCTAAATTCAGAGGATTGTTATAATCACTGGATAAAGAAGAAACGGGAACTCGGCGACACTCACACAGGGCTTGCGAAGGTTCTACTCGATAGAATTGTTGATACTTTTTAACTTATTTCTCATTTTTTGCATCGCTTTCAAAAAAACAAATCAGACATTGAAATACACATATGATTTATAAAGATTGTTGCTATATAAATATTTTTTTTCCTTTCTCAGACCCTAATATACAAACGTCAACATTTGTACCTTTAGTTCTGAGAAGTTTGTTTGAAAGCAGACTTAAATGTTCATGGTTATATTGGAAAGTAAGGGTGTTTTGATTTTGAGAATTTCTTTTACCCATAATCAATTATAATTGTCAACTCTACAGTGTAGGTTCGCCCCATTTTAGAATTCACATGGTAAAAATAAACAAATCTAAAATTGTTACAGTAATTACATTAGTTTGGTACGAGGAGAAAATATTTATGTTTCTCCAACCGCTGACATCAACTTTATATCCTATTGTATTGTTGTTTTTTTTAACTTTTGATCTTGAATACTGTTCATAATCTCCATATGTTTCTTCTTAATTGATATTTTGGGTAAATTTGAATTTTTGAAATGCAGGTTATAAAACAACTTAATTTCTTAACCTTTGTCTGATCCTGTTAACTCTCTGTCAATTAAATACGTTAAATCCTTGAAACATCTTTAATTTTATTTTTGTCGATTATAAACATTTTAAAACATTTTTAAAGCGATTTATCAAAAATACAAAAAGGTGAATAGTATAAGCGAGATTAAATTTGAGCTATTCTATAATATCAATATAGATAGCTAAAACAATCGAAATGGAATACATTGTGAAACATATGAAGATAATGAACAGTATTCAAGGTCAAAAGTCCACTAAACAATACAAAACAGGAGCAGAGGAAACATGGACAATAAAATATCAGAGATGGGATCAAGTTCCATGGAGTAGTGAGCATCCCCTGCCGACCGGCCACATCCGCCGTGTGCTCCTCGTCATAATCGTGAAATAACGAGCAAATTCTACGTCAATTCAGTGTATGAGTGGACTAAAAATTGGTATGAAAAACGTCAGTCACCATTTGACTCAATGATAAATTGTATTTGCTGACAAGGTCCTTGTATCGACCAAAGAACTAACGAAATGATGACTGTAAACGAGACTGTTGAAATTCTTGTTTCATCAACTTGTTTGTAAATAATTCATCTCGTTTTAGAAATTGTTCATACGTAGAGCATGCTCTTGCGTATCGAATCAATTGAGATATATAAACTCCGTATGCAGGTGATGAAGGTATATTGCTGCATAAGTAAGGGAAGGTGAGCGATATTCAAGTTAAGCGATCTCTCAATAATAAGGCCAAAATTAAAATCTAGCTAAAAATTCTGATTATACTTCGGATTAATTTACATGTACACTGTATTTAGTTCCAAGTTCCTGATTTAGCTGGATTGTTTTTGGTTTTCAAAGGAAACATCAAAATTGTTTGTCCTTGCTATTTCAAGGCCGTTATAGAGCTCATAACAGAAAGTAGTATTTTCAAAGTCTACCTGCGGATTTGAATCTCTCTGCTCAATTTCACCTCCGGATACAATACCTATGACTCTTATCGTATCAAGCAGTGAATTTTGTTCATTCACATATACAATCGATCCACTGTCTCCTCGTTCGGAGAACTTGCCTGACATTCCTGAAACTAAAAACATTTTTGATTCACCATTAATTATGTTACAATGAAACTCCCGGGATAAGATTTTCCCCGTGGTAAACGACGTTGTCGCTCCTTTTTTGTGTACAAAGTCATCTTTGTCAATTTTACTTAGTTCTTCCACCGTAACATAACAATTTTCTCTAAATCTGTTTCCCATAGATAGTTTGCAGTGCTTTTCAAGATGACCGTCTATCTGTACTAAAGAAATATCACAACATTCACCACTTCTTGCAAGGTTTCCAGAAAAAACACACTCTCCAATTTTTTCTATCGGAGAGTTTTTTGATAAGTGTGCAAATGCTTGTTTATTGTCTAAATTGCAAACATGGGAACAAGTTAGAGCATAAATGTTGGACCCACTATCCTTAACAAAGCCACCAACAGTACCTTGAGAAGAAGGACCCACAACAGGAGTGCAAAGTGAAGCATCAGCCGAAGATGGATAAATCTTATCGCCTTGTTGTAAAAATAATTCAAATTTCAAATTACTTTCATGTACTTTGAGAGACCAGTGTTGGAAAAACTTGTCACCAATTAGGAGAAGATTTGTTTCAAGGTGACGAGATTTTTCCTTTTTGTTTACAAGCACAATGAAATCTCCGTTCCACCAGAGGCCAAATCCTACAACTTCTCGTTTTCTGCAAAATTATGTTAACATATCAAAGGATGAGAGTGAAGTAAAAAAGGATAATAAAATTAAAATAGAAATTAGAAAACATTTCTAAATAAAGAATTTAACAATTTGTATTATTTGTCAAATTATTAAAAAATTATATACTAGTATTAGAAATTCAAAGTACCTGCAAAGATAATCCTTTATATTTTCTGGTATTCTATTTTTGTTGTCGTTTGATGGATAAGATTCGATGCAGGACTTAACAGAGGGTGCGGTTGGCTTTACAATCTTAAGCTTTAGCAACATGTCCAGTTCATTTTGCAGGGATTGGGAACCGAGTTTCAAAACTGCGGATCGTACTTTATTTAAAAAGCCATGTATTGGCCTTTCCAGTATTTCTGTCATTGCTTCGTGGATATTCTTCATAACAGGATTAGAGAAAAATTTCTGGATTTCAAATAATGGCTTCCTGTTTTCGTTAATTGCATCTTGTAATATCTGACGAGCTTTTGTATTCATTTGTATAGCCTTCAATGCAAAATAATGGGTTACTAGTATTGCAATTCTTTCTCCTATTTTAATGCTTTGTTACAGTACCTAGAAAGAAACAAACCTCGTCAGTTATTTGGAAAGAAGCCTCGTCCTTTACAACGCATTTAAGAACTTCTGGCCATACATTTTCTTCAAAACCTGAAGAAAATCAAGAACCTGTTAGATTTACATTTACTACCTACCGATGCTGTAGAATATAATTCCCCTAATAGCCAGTTTTCCCCCGGAAATAGTATTGTAGAAGAGGAGTGAGTTTTTCGACTTATATGCTGGCTATTCATTTGAAATTATTAACTCATCGGAAATTGTAGCAACTCAAAAAAATCTTAAGACCCGTTGTCTCAATATCCTCTCTCACTGCAGAGGAACATGTTTGATCACAAATTCTAAATATATATCAGGGTCCCTTCGTTGATTTTTCGATAATTTGTTTACCCCCTAAAGGTCAGACTTGTACTTATTTTATATTTACATTTCTAATTATTTTTTCTTAAAGGTGCTTGGACACAGATTTGAAGTTAATATTTTCTCAAATTTTCGATATAATATCATATCTTGTATGTTTATACAGCATTTCACAAAGAAATATACGAAAATGTTGCTATGTCCAACACGTGCATGTTGTTTTTACTCTGCTTTTATTTGAAAGTAATGAATGAAGTACAATACAAATAATTCATTCATTACCTTCAAAATGTACAATACAAATTGGAAAGAAACAATCCATTTTAAATAAAATTTCTATAGGTACAGTAGAATTTGTCCAATCGATTACATTGTACATATTTCTCTGAAACCAGTTTAACCAGATGAAAAAAAATGAGATTTTAATGCATTCAAAAAGTAGTTGGGCGATTGATGAAAAAATGAGAATTTTATTTAACGTTCATTTTTATTCTTCGAATGTCATGATTTTGAAGAAGGAACGCTTGTAACAATGTGTCGCCCCTCTCCCTCTTTCCATAAGTACAATATATTTGGGGGGGGGGGGGGTGGCTCTAGGGGAAATCACACTTTATAACTACCACACAGAGAAGAATTTCCCCCGGAGTTCCATTTAGTGGGTTCTCAATAAAAAATATAATGTGCCAATTATTTTACAAGATTTTTCTTTACATCTTAACTAGTGGTAAATTAGGTTTTCACGGAATATGCATTGGTAAGGTAGATCTTGTGTGAAAAATGTAAAAATTATACGCTCTAATCAATATCAATTAAGATAGACTATTAATTTACAATTCGCACGAATTGATTACAAACCATTTTTACAACATTCTTTTTCTAGAAGTCTGCCATCTTCTTTGATATCGATCTGTACGTTGAAGTCTTCTAGTGGGTTTCTGAGACAGTTCAGAGGCTTGCAATCTCCAAGGTAAGTTCTATAACGTTTGACGAAGTCGCATGTTAAATTGTATAAATACATCAAGTGAGGAAATAATGTCCACGAGCAATACCATGTTGATTCCGTCTTTATCTGACCGAGTCCTTGTTTTCCTAAACAAAACATGCATATGAATTGATATTTCAGGACTATGAAGAATGTGTATATGTTTACTGGTTTAAAGGAAATAGCTTCAATGTATAATCTTTAAGATTTCTTAAGATATGTGCATTAAAACTTTAAGAGATATATAAGAATGATTGTCTCACTTTTGCGAATTTGTAAATCTTTCTTGTCAGAATTGTTACATATTCTTTTTATGTTAGATTTCTCAGAGGCAGAGTTCTTTTCTTTCGTATTCTCCGAATGGAAATGAGGTCTTTTGCTGCCACTTCTTAAGCCCCGCTTTCTTTCTCTTTCAGACATTTCTTACACTGGGTGACATAAACAAACAAAATATTAAAACCAAGCAAACAAACAAAGTAAAAGGGCAATAGTACGTAGGATCCGAGGATCAGATACACAGTCAAAATCTTTATGAAAAAAGTCTCTTGTTGTGATGTAAGATGCGAGTAAGTTCTGTAAGATGTTTTGAAAGAAAGTCTTTCAATCTACAATCTAAGCCCAGAAATTTTGTTTTATATAGTCATATTTTTTTAAAGCGTGTATGCTGCCTGCATGGTAAAAAAAACAAAAAACTTTGATGTATACTCTTAACGCACTGTAGCAACCTCTAATGATAAAACGCCGCTTAATGATACAAATATCATTAAGCGTTGCAATTGCAACGCTTAATGTAATAAATTATTGCATTAATAACTGACATTCTCAACCGCTAATGCTAAATCGCCGCTTCAGGATAGAATTATATCATTAAGCGTCACATATGCAGAGCAACACTGACGCTTAATGAAACAGGCAAATATCGACATAATGAACGACTAATGATACAAAATAGTGTATCATTACGCGTTGCAGTTGCAGCCTTTAATGATATAAAAATTAGAAGAATGATATGGAGATAATGAACAGTATTCAAGATCAAAGTCCATAAGCAATACAAAATAAGAGCAGAGCAAACACGGACCTCCAAAACTCCAGAGGTGGGATCAGGTGCAATGGAGGAGTGAGCTTCCCCTGCTGACAGGTCACATCCGCCGTGTGCTCCTTGTCATGATCGGGAAATAACGGAAAAATCCGTGTCATTCATTTCGGTTATAAATAATGGACTAACAATTAGTATGAAAAACGTCAGTCAGCATTTGACTCAATAATAAATTGTATTTGTTGACAAGGTCATTGTATCGACCATAGGACTTACGAAATGATGACTTTAAACGAGACTGTTAATATTCCTGTTTCATCAACCTGTTTGTCAATAATTTACCTCATTTAAAAAATTGTTCATACGTAGATCATGCTTTTGCATATGGAATCATCTGAGAAATGTAAATTCCGTATGCAGGTGATGAAGGTATATTACCTCATACGTAAGGGAAGTTGACGATAGAAAAGTTAAAGTCATCACGTTTACCATAGAGCTTGGTTGTTAGATTACCATTAACGTCTTTCTCTCAAGTAAAATATCCAAGTAGGAAACAGATGTGTCAGACTCTGTGGTTTCTTCTATCTCAAGCTCACCAGGACATGTCGTATCGACATAGGAATGGAAATTACCATCGTTAATTGACAATACGTGGTCGATATATCTAAATGTCGAGTTGAAGGCCACAGCAAGTGTTTTCTTCTATTCAAGCATAAGATTTTGCACAAATTTTGCTTCATTTGAATACAAAAATAGGTCTGCTAATAAAGGAGCGCAATTGGTACCAATGGGAATTCCAATAAATTTTGGAAGACCTGGTCTCCAAAAAAAAACTACACACACAGATATTGTCAATCAGAAACTCAAGCATTTTCTTAATGTCAACTTCAGAGCACTCGTGTGTGCAATCCATTCTCTAAATACTAGTGTTTTAATTATAAATGTGTTATTTTTTAGATCTTCATTTCCTGCATCAGATTAAGTTCCAACCTTTATAAATGATCATGAGTTATACAATACCATAAAATTTCTTCTTTAAGAAAAATTTTAAATTTTCTAGGACTCGCCTATAAGTCGGACATAGATTTTTGTTCAAAATTCAACTCCCCAAAAGCTTACTTAAAGAAGAGTATAATAAATTATGGCATCATCTTAGCACATGTATTTAAACAGTTTCTGTATTATCTGCAAAACTGTAGCATTATGCTTTTATATTGAAGTCTTTAACCATGACGGAATAGATCCTTTTATGAAAATAAATCGCAATTTACGGCGCAAGATTTTCTGCGCACGGTTGGGGAGAATGTCTCCACTTTCCAGCATTGGTCAATCAAATACCTAACACTGCCTAATTCTAGACATATTTTTAACCAATCTGTATATTTCATCCACTGCAATACCCTTTATAGTCGTCTCTACAGACAAATAAACTCGCTTGTTTTGGTTTTTACTGCCATCCGACAAAAAAAAATATACATGTACAACAGTAGTGTATCATGCAAATCTAAGCATGTTCGATAGTTTCTGAAAGGCGTTGAATTATTTCCCTTCCAATTTTATTATATAAATGAAGAAATTAAATGAAGGTTTTTTTTTACATATTATGGTGGCATATTTCTGCCCCTTGTGTGCAAGTTATTTTTCTATTGAATATGTCGACATGCAAGATAGATATGTTGACATGCAAGATAGTTATGTCAACATGCAACATAAATATGTTGACATGCAAGAAAATTGCAATCAAATGAATATTATAAAACAATCTTCAAAAATGTCAAATATTGCCCACATGTGACATCCAACATACTAAATGCTACTTATTTATGTTAACATGCAAGATAAATATGTTGACATGTAACTTAGATATGTTAACATGCAACTTATTTATGTTGACATGCAACTTATTTATGTCGACATGCAACTTAGATATGTTAACATGCAACTTATTTATGTCGACATGCAACTTGGTTATGTTGACATGCGAGATAAATATGTTGACATGCAACTTATAAGTTGCATGTTGACATAAATATGTCGCATGTTGACATAAATAAGTTGCACGTCAACATATTTATCTTGCATGTCAACATAACTAAGTTGCATGTTAACATAAATAAGTTGCATGTTAACATAAATAAGTTGCATGTCAACATAAATAAGTTGCATGTCGACATAAATAAGTTGCATGTCGACATAAATAAGTTGCATGTCAACATATTTATCTTGCACGCTAAAAAGCATCTGGCATGTTGGATGTCTCATGTGGGCGATATTTGAGATTTTTCATAATATTTATTTGATTGCATTTTTCTTGCATGTCAACATATTTATGTTGCATGTTGACATAACTATCTTGCATGTCAACATATTTATCTTGCATGTCGACATATTTGATAGAAAAATAACTTGCACACAAGGGGCAGAAATATGCCACCATAACATATACAAAACAAATGTTGGAAAATCTTTTTTATCTTGATTTGATTTGCGAAATTTGAGAAAAATTCTAAGGTTCAAGTTTGCACTAATCTCGAATGAAATTAACCCGATAAAATGAACTCAAAACACCAAGTATGTCATTCTGACGCAGTTAGCAAGGAGAAATCTACGTGCTTAATAAGTTCAAATTGTTTGTAAATATATTGCAACCAAACAGTCTTTTTTTTTATTGTGAAATTGAAATTTGTAAAGTATTTCCAGTCGGGATCATTTAATCTAAATCGGGTCAGGCTTGATTATAGCGATTTTTTCAATCGAATCTCCTCGGGTCTTTCCTAGGTAATATCTTTACATTCAATAAAGTTAAAATCCATGCTCCACAGGTAAGAAGTCTCCCAACGTTTATTTCAAAGTTTGTGAAAAAAAGGGTTGGGTTGTCTTGGCGTTTACGTAATACACTGGAGGTTGTTTTTTCCTCTAGTCGGAAAGGCCGGAAAATTTTGCAATCGCAATTTCTTTTTAAATTCTCTCTGACATGTTAAGTTTAAACCGTTTGGGAGTAAATGTAAATATAAAATATACAACACGACAGCTGTTGTATTGTTGTAATATTATTTTTTTACTCCAACGAAGTAAATTCAAGATTTAGAACATGCAATCTTTATTAAATATGATTGTAAACTATTTCTTTTATGTTTCTTTTACAAAGATTAAAAAAGTACATTATTAAATTATTGTTTTCATACTCATTCATTATTTTGTGATAGAGTAAAAAGTCTCTGATGGTACTTATTCTATGCATTTCAATAACTTCATTTATCTTGGGAAAATTTTCAGTAATTAATAAAAATTTGACACCGAACTCGTAATTATATTAGAGGAGCAAAAGAACAATACGGATTTATAATTAAAAGTTGGAAGTTATATGTAAGGTCATAGCAGGTCAGGGTAAAAATAGCTGACACAGATAAAAAGTGCTCACCAATTTATTTCAATGTACTTGTATACATTAACTTTTTGAAGCCTAATTCAAGTTTTATACCATAATTCCCTATGGGCCCGTCCGCCCTTCTTAAAGAGCCTCTCTTCCGCACCCCCCCCCCCCCCTTCATCGAGGTTGTAAAAATTTATTGATAACCAGTTTATTCCAGTGTATTACATTTACATAAATAAAGTTGGTAATGGTTTAAAAAACGGGAGGGGGGGGGGTTGGGGCTAAATAAAAAAAGGGGATCTCAAATTAAGTTGGAAAAGCCAAGATTAAAGTTGTTATTACCAACTTTAAAGTTGGAAAGCCAAGATTAAAGTTGCAATTACCAACTTTAAATTTGGAATTTTCCAAGATTAAAGTTGCAATTACCAAGATTAAAGTTGGAATTTCCAAGATTGAAATTGGAATTTCCAATTTAAAAGTTGGAATTTCCAACTTAAAAGTTGGAATTACCCAGATTAAAGTTGAAATTTCCAACTTTAAAGTTGGAATTTCCAAGATTAAAGTTGGAATTTCCAACTTTAAAGTTGGATTTACCAAAATTAAAGTTGGAATTACCAACTTTAAAAAATATTGCATGGCACTAATACGCCTCCGTAGGTAACTAAGAAATAATAGTTTGTAACACCCCTTCACAAATATATTTTTCCCATAGAAACCAATTTCTATAATTACAATTTTTTTACCACTAATTTTGGCTGATATAATATTAAACCAAATTTTTGTCTTATATTTACCTCATTTTGCATTTTCTGGAATTGCTTAAATGAAAATTTAAAAATACTACAACATAAATTCCTACCTTTTACTGAAATATATATTGCTGTAAAGAATATAGATTGCTGTAAAGAATAAAATCACACATAGAAAAGGGAATGTCGAATAAATTTTAAAAACACAATGGATCAAGACTGCCATCCTATCTATATCATTACTGCATTCAAAATATTTAAACTGATTGAGTGCAAACAAACTAACTTTACTGATAAAACATGTTTAAATACCAGACAATTCAAATGTGTATTCATCATACATTTTTCATTTTATTCTACAGCTTCCGCATCAATAAGTGTACTTAAAAGCATAACATTGCGCATTAATTGTTTGTGCTTATCTCACAAATGAACACAGCAGCAGGCTACAGAACGACCATGTTATTTACAGTAGATTTTTCTGCGTAGTTTTCCTCAAAATTACATTTATACTTATCAGTAACAGAATTTATAAGTCAATAAAATTATAAATGATTTATATCGTACAAATCTATAACTCTTTTAGAAACTGACATATCTACAAGTAGGTATTAAAAAATATTAAAATAATTTTTTTTTTATTTTTCAAAATGTCAAAATATTTTCACTCCTGACGATTTTAGCATCATTTTTGGGAAATGTATAACTTTTTTGTTAATTGAGATATCAACTAGATATTTGGAAGCTAGGTATTTAGACGCTATTTAATATGCTTAGACATATAAATCTATTTTCATTTCTATGTTTCTAGTGAGGGTTGACAAATATATGTGTTTTATATTTTTTTTAAATTCACCCATATTTCTATTAAAGTCAATCCATTCTTTCAATATGTTCTGGATTTTGCTTTAATATTTAACCCAATGTAAATCATGATCTTTGACAGATACTAGAGGTAAGTGAGCAATGAGTCTGATTATAGTGGCAAAATCCATGTGCTGCTCAAGGAGACCCGAAATAAATGTTAGAGCAAAAATGGAAATAAAGGTTGCACAATGGCATTATGTAATAAAGAATCTTTGAAAGTATCAATAGATTTTGTTCAGTGGTTAAAGAGTGGTCAAAAAGTAGTTGTGGATAACAGATGGATGTGCTTAAAGACTTTATAGAAAGAATGACAGTATTCATGTTTTGCAATGGTAAACTAGAAATGTGTCCGATCAATAAGTTAAATAGTAGGTCACAATGGCACATTACCCTCCCACTTATCAAGCGGGGGTATAATAATCCTATACTAAAAGTACCGAGAGCTCTGTGCTCACTAAATAATACCCTCCTATGATTATAATGGCAATGTCCGTGTTTTGCGCTGAGAGATCCGAAATTAGCGTCAGATCAGAAAGTAAAATAAGAGGTCACAGTGGCATTATGCAAAAAAGAACTTGTGAAGTATTAAATTTTATTCTGTGGTATAGGAGGAATTGTGGATAAGTGATGGGTATCCTTCAAAATCATATAAAGAATGATAGGCTCTTGTTTTGCTATGGAAAACCTTAAATATGTGTCCGATAAAAAAGTGAAATAGGGGGTTATAATGACAAATATGTAAAAAAGATTCTGTGAAAGTTGTATTAAATTTCAATCAGTGGTATAAGAAGAGTTGTAAACAAGAGATGGGTACCCAAAAGTGTAACAGACGGACAGACGGACATTCTAATCACTATATACCTTCCCACTTTTGGGGTAAAATGATGGCAGAATTAAAGTTTTGTCGCCAATGGAAGGATTGATGCTTCCTGTTTTTTTAAAAAAAAAAAAACATTTTGAAATGATTGCTTTTATACGGACATTTGTAACTCAGTTAAAATCTCAAGATAAAATGTAGTTGTCAGAAGAAAAATAACAAGATAAAATGCCAGTAGAATCAAGTACCACGGTTTGGTGAGCATCCTCACTTCAACAACCATACATCCGATCTCTCTCTCTCTCCCTCTATTGACCATGTAAACGAGATACCCATAGTCAATATACTGGTCATAAACAATTGTATAACAATTGATGGGAAAAATGTTTATTGCTTTTGCGAAAGCGAGGGGGCATCATATCTCATTCGTCCGTCCGTCTATCAGTCGGTCCGTCTGTCACAAAATTTTCTGACCTTAGTCATAAGTTTTGAATGAGAAGAGATAGGTTTTTATATTACATATGTATTTTACTTAATGATAATGACTTTGTAAATGAACTTTAACTTGAACAGTGAATCCCTGATCTTGACCTTCAAGTTTGACCTATTTTCAAAAATTCAAAAATGTTAACATTTCTTTAAATTGGTCAAAACTTTTGAAAGAGAAAATATAGGGCTTTCATATTATACATGTATATTACTTGTGGTAAGAGCTTTTAAGATATACTATAATTTTTATTCTTTGACCTTGATATTTGACCTTCTTTTCAAAAATGTTATTTTTCATTGTACCTCTAAATTGAGAAGAAATAGGGATTTCATATTTGACACGTGCATTACTTGCAACAAGAAGTTTCGGAGCATGCTACCCTAACAAACATACTATAGTTAACTCTAGTTTATTATTGTTAACTTAAGTTTATCAAAGTGTGAAAGTGATAACTATAGAAAATCAATCAAAGTTTTGAAAGTGATCACTATAGTAAATCAAAGTTTTCGAAGTTATCACTATAGAGTCATAGTTATCAGTAGAGTAAACAAATCAAAGATTTAAAAGTTATCACTATAGTAAATCAAAGTTTTAACCATAGAAAATCAGTGTTCATAGTGATCACTAAGGTAAATCAAAGTTATCACTGTAGTAAATCAAAGTGTAAACTTTATCACTACAGTCAATTCAAGTGTCAAAGTTATCACTATAGTAAATCAGAGTGTCAAAGTTATCACTATATATATAGTTTATCATAGTTTTTATAGTGCCAAAGCTATAACTATACTTAACTATAGAATACTATATATAGTTAACTATAGTATTTTTGTTAAGGTATGATTGTTAACTCCTTGACCTTGACTTTCATGTTTGATCTTATCTTTAAAAATCTTAAGTCTGGCGATTACTTTTGAATAGCATATATGGTAGGGCGTTCATGTTTGACACAATATGCAATTTCTTTGAATTGGATAGTGAAATTTTTCTTTCAGTAATATACATTTATTGCATGATAGTGAGGGAAATATGAAGACTTATTCAGCCAAGAAAAATCATATTCCCCGAGGGCTTCGCCCGCGTAATGCCCTGCTATAGATGACGTTATTGCTGTTAATCTTTGACGTCACAATATTTGTTACAGTTGGATTGAGAGGTGGGTGTAATTTGTCTCTTAGCTTAAAAATCCCACCCTCCCATTCCCCTTATTTATAACATTAAGTATATATATATAATTTACATGCATTTGTCATATTAATTAAGAAATGAATTTAATTTTTGAAGATTCATGAGGTTATGAACTACGACGCTTCACGCCGGCATATTTCATGAAGCGCGTTAGCGCTTCATGATAAATATGCTGGCGTGAAGCGTTGTAGTTCATATACCTCATGAATCTTCAAAAAATTAAATTCATTTCTTATATTTACATTATTTTTCTTATAACTTGCCATAAATTTACGCCGTTCAACTGTCATTTTTAAAACAAAACAGTTTGCACTATATTTTTTGACTTTTTGACGTCAAGAGTGGTATTATGACGTAACAATGGAGATATTCATGCTAATTCGTAATACATACCTAATGTAGTTCATGAGAAAATATACTGCATTTTATTTTGTAAAGAATCATAGGGGAAATTTATTGGAAATGTAAATATTTTGTTTTGCCAGTGCATTTTTCTGCCGTAGTTTTCTAAATATTTTCAGGCAACCTTGAACTGTGTCATGTGAAATGTGAGAGACATTGGTTTAGACGGTCATACTTGTGATAGAAGTTCCATTCGTCACGATCTACATATAAAGACATGTGAAGGAGAGTCACGACGATTTTTCGAGACGCCTTCCATGATTCAAGTATTTTTTCACAACTTCTGCTGAGTATCTGCTAATCCAGTACCAGCTTGGATGTTGTCAGTTTTCAAATCTTCAGGACTTTATAAGGATAAGGATGTAAAATTTATGATTTATAAGGATAAAGATTATAAGGAGTTATGTTATAACGCTTAATAAAGTATATATTGTATTATGTAGGTCTTGGCCACAATCGCCAAATCAAAAATAAATGATTTTAAGAAATTAAATTTGTCTTCATCGTCTTTAATAATAACAAAATGAATGCATGGTAATGTGAAGAATTAGGGAAGAATTACGGGCCATTAAAAATCCAATTAAAAATATTACCTTTTCAAAGCTTTTATGAGTGGATGTAAAATTCACCTACAAAAACCTTTCATAGTGCACTAATTTATACAATGTAGATAAAGGGTACAAAATGGATGCATGGATTGATATATATGTTTTTACTGATTTTCTTTTCAAATGACATAAATAATAAATCCCTGAAATATAAAGAAATCATAGGTTTTCCTTGGTGCTTAGATTTGAAACTTTGTTTTGCTTTCTATACAATTCCATACAAAATTTTGCATGAATTTTTAACCTTATGACAAATTCTTATAAATTCTTCCACTATACCTAGTTAAACATTATTCAGGTTACCAATTTTGATGTAAATCTATGAGAAATATCGCTGATTTCTGAAAAAGGTTTGTGTTACTTATCTGTAAAGACTGAAATTCTGAGAAGTTATTGCACACGGTGATGCGGATGATTTATATACGAATTGATAAATATTTGAAATTTTCATTATATCATTTATATTTTAAGAATGATTCTACAGCCTTGCATTATGTAAAATACATACGTGTTCAGTCGAGAAATCTACGCTTCAAATATACTAGCAATAGTTTATCTGTATTACGTAAACCTTTTATGTAGAAGATTGAGGATCATGTATTTAATGACCTATAATAGATATTTCGGTCAAATCTTCATTTGGACAAAACTCGATCTTCATAAAGTACAATAATTTCTAGATTTTATTGTGGACAAGGAAGCAAAGCCGTATGTTAACCACGAAACATCATTTTATAGTTTCTGAAATTACCAAATCATCGAAGCATAAAGAATATTCATGGTTCAAAATACAAGTAAACGTAGGCGAAAATTGGAATAACGTTCTTTAAAGGCAAAACAGGTTCCAATTTTTTAAATGTACTTTCACAAATTGCTCGTTGAAATACACGTGCCTTCATATTCTAGAGAGATTTCATTGTTTCAACTTTGCATGCTAAAAAATATATAAGAATTTCGCGGAGATTCTTGTTTTAGGTTGGTCTTAGACATTGTGTAGAACAGAAAGAGAACTCTAGTGGAAATGATTATACAATGATAAAGTAGCAAAAAATCCGAGGTTCTCTATAATATTAAGTAGATGGTACATATAGTGAATCATAACGATTTAGTCAGCATCACTTGTATTGCAAAATGGTTGATTAGAATGCACTTGTGCGAAATTTTACTTCAAACAATGAATAAATATGATTCATGGAGTTATCGTTGAAGAAAAGGATACATCTCCTATTGTCCTTGACCTTCTCCATTCTTAATTAAAAGTCTTGTACAAAAATTGTCTTTTCAAAATATATTTCCCTTGATAATTAAAAAAATGATAACAGGCATAATATTAGAGAAGTATATCAAAACATGTACTACCGTGTGTAACTAAAAGAAAAGTTGCAATTCGGCATTCATTGTATAATATTACCAGGCTAAACGTTGCTTTTCATAATTTGAAATTTAAAAACCTAATTGTACGAGGGCCGTTCAAAAATTACGCGGACTTGTTGCATAGAAAAAGTACTTGTGAGATATAGTGTGACACTGGTCACTCTCAATCACGTTCTTAACAGTCCAGATAAAGTTTTCGTCGATAGCTTTCTTCCCGTCCTCCCGTGTAGCCTTTTTACAGAGGTATAACGGTCTAAAATTCTATTTGTAGACAAATGTCACTAATACCCTAGTTAACTATATATTTTATTATGCATATTTTGGATCTATGTTGGCGATATCTCGATCATTACACACAATTTAGATTTGATGAATAATTATTTCAACCTGGTTGGATAACTTTTCGGAGATAACTTCACCTCAGAATCTGAGCTATAGACGTTTTACATATGACTCTTAGGGGTACGAGAGACAGCACAAAATTATAGTCTTTTTATAGTTAATTTATAAGTATTTAAGGTAGGATTCTTCTCATATTTCTTGTATTTAAAAATTCATGAAATTTTCACAGAATCAAGAAGACAATATCAGTAAGTGATAGTATCAGTGATATTAAATCTGACCGTTTTATATTAAAGGCAAGGTCAGGTCAAGGTCATTATCTTTCCCCTTGTCATTAAGAATAAAAAAATACTGTTTCCAATCATGTGATGCCTACTTCTATTTCAAAAGTTTAAAGATTGTTCTTTTTGCATAAAATATATAACTAAATCGGGTATATATCATGATATTTCCAAATTTACATAAATAGCTTAACTAACTAAGATATTAGCTAATCCGAATTTTCTCTGTTTTTCTTAATTTTTTAGGATATATTAGTTTTTTTCATATGCTTCCTATATTTAACTTTTTCTTATTTTCTCATATATGATAAAGTAGACTTATAAATATACAAAATGATACAAAAAACAAAAAGTTTTTGATCGTTTACTTAGAGAGAAAAATACTTTTTACGGATTTTTGGCTCAAATCTGTACTTTGATTGGAAGCATTTAAAAGCTTACAAAGTTCTAGTTTGTTAAAAAATCATATTTATTCGGTATGTTTTGAAAGTTTAGTCCCTTATTCTTAATTTAAATTATTTACCGTTCACGGTAGCCTAGTGGTAGAGCGTTCGCTTCGTGATCGGGAGGCCCGGGTTCGATTCTCGTTCCCGGCGCCGCGTCAAACCTAAGACGTAAAAATAGGTAGTGACTGTTCCTTCGCCAAGCGCTCGGCATCGGAAGTGAAAGTCACGGGTCTTTCGGATATGACCCTAAAAACGTAGGTCCCGTGTCACCATAGGCGCTGGCACGATAAAGAACCCTCACTGCTCAATGGCCCTGAGTGCCGAGTATAGGTCTAAATTTGAAGCCCTTCACCGGCATACGGTGACGTGTCCATATGAGTGAAAAATTCTCGAGAGGGACGTTAAACAATATACAATCAATCAATCAATCATTAATTTAAATTATATTTGAAAATTTCTCAGTGGTTTTGATTGTATAAAAATTATAACTAAATTCATTGTTCTATTATATTTTTGAGAGGCAGAAAAGAGGATAATTTCATACGCCACCATTTCGCCAAAAATATAGTCCCTGCTAGTTTTCAAACGCAGTTTACCATTTCTATTTAAAGTTGTACAATTGTGATGAGGAAAGAAAAATATGGTCTTTTAAATCCTTTACACCTAAATATATAAGACATATAAGCAAATATACTTTGAATGTTTCATCTAGTCAGAAACCAGAGAAGAATCCTACCTTAAAACTATACGAGGGCTGTTCAATAAATAATGTCCTCGGTGCTCGGAAAGAAACGAAAAACGCTTTTCAATGATTTACCCTTAATGATTTGAACTGTAAAGACTGTTAATAAGAGTTTGTATGTTTTTAAATGTGCACATTCCATAAGGATTTACAAGACTGACCAGCCATTATTTTCTTTATTTCCTTTGTTTATATTTTGTATTAATGCTATATGTCTTTTGCAATAAAGAAATTGATTTCACTTGAATATTTTCTCTTTTATTTAAAACATATGTTCGTAACATATTTATTCAATTTCTGGTGGTACCCATTTGTGATGCCTATATATCTTTACTGTTAATTGAAATCCACCAGCTCATTTGTCTATTTAACAGACATTGGATTCTGTAAATTTCACAAATTTCACTGCATATTTCTTTGGGAATCTTAACATTTTTTACCGCAGCTTTTATGAAGCGTTTAATTTCACTCTAGTTAACTGATTCTTTACCATTCATTTTTTATGCGGTGCCTCGAATAGCCCTTGTTTTCCAGCTTCTCACAATGAAAATATGAGATAAATTGATATCAATTCATTTAAGATTCAATTATGAGAAAATCAAGCTTTATGTCATATGATATCTGTGTTGTATGTCACAGATTTCAGGACATTATTTATTGAACAGCCCTCGTAAAACATTGTTTATTTTTTTTTTTACGAGGGCTGTTCAGTAAATAATTATATAATGTCCTGAGCTCTATAACATACAACATAGAAATCATATGACATTCAGCTCGACTTTCTCTCATGATAGAATCTTTAATAAATTGATAACAGTTTATGTGACCTCTTTTCATCACATAGTTTAATCGCGAGAGACTGGAAAACAAGGGTTATTCGAGACACTGTATTAATAAGAAAATGTTAAAGAATCAGTAAACTAGAGTGAAATAAAATGCTTCATTAAAGCTGCTGTGAAACTTAAGAATCCGAAAGAAATATTCACTAAAATATGTGAAATTTACAGCAACAACCGTCTATCTTATAGAAACACGAACAGATTTCAATTAACAAAATTTACATAAAATTTAACAAAATTTACATAATGGACACCAAAATGGGTACAGTCCTTGGCGACAAGGACTTACAACAAAAATGTTCTGTTTACCAAAATTCAACAAATTATCACTTATGATGCTTGATTGACTTTGAGACACATAGCAATTTGATAGGCATCTTTTTTTTTTTGGGGGGGGGGGTATTTCACACTGATTTAAAGAAACAATTGACAGTAAAAAAGCGTAGTACTCAATGGTCACCGTATGTTTTGAAAAATGAGTGAAAACGACAGAATATCTAAACTTTTATTTAAAAAAAAAAAATCAGAAACTGTAGTTATCCACGTTTGTCTGAAATTTTTTTCTATTTATTTTTACGTTAACTACATGAATACATGTATTTGGGTAGGAAAGATAATTAAAGAAATTGACTGAGGGATCTGCTGTCTTCTCCTCATTCTGGAAGAGGGTAGATCAATCCATCAGTATTTAAAAAAAATATAAGAAAATAATGCTGTTTGTTAATAAAATGTGAGTCCGGAAATAAATTTCGTTTTATACTTTTTTAAAAATTGTGTTAAGTACCTCTATGGTATAAAAAATGTTAATGAGAACTCTAAACCTTTTTTGATTTTTTTTCAAAGGACGTTGATTTTGTCCCATTTTTAACGCACTTTGAAACAATTTTTTTTAATGTGCGTTGACACATAGCACATAGTATGTTGATTAAAACCAAGGTACATATACTGCAAAATTTTATTAAATTTTGTTTGTGTTATGAATATATTT